GGACCCTCAGAACGTGTGTGAGGACGTGGCGATCCTCAACAGCTTCAGCGTGGTAGAGCACCACGGTCTTGATAGCACCCATCATCTATACCTCAAAGCAGGCGGCATTTATCGCTCTCACTTTATAAACTACTTTGCCACTATACTTTCTAACCCACATATACAGCAGCGGCATCGCTTTGTCAAGCGGTTTAACGATACCTTTGTGCGAGTGGAGGTGCCGCCTTCGGGGAATGGGGAGGGGGCTCCGTCCACAGCGTTTTCTGCGTTCTCATGGCCCTCAATCGACAGGGCACGTTCGCCTCAGGATTACTTTAGTGCAGATTCGGTGGGAGACGACTTGTTCTTGTTTCTCTATGCTTGGTTTCACCAGCGCCAGCTCCAACAGCAGCACCCTTTACCTGCCGCGTTGCAAATTCCACTTCTCAAAGGCTCAGCCCCTCTTCTTCGCCGGTTTAGTAAGATTGAGGAGATTCTTTTCGCGGTACCGGGGATCGCCACCGAATGTATGGGCTGTGTCTTATCTGACACATCTTTCTTTGTGGCGGGCGATCTGTCAGGCCTGTGGTCCTTCCTAACGGAAGGGAACGGTGCGGTCGCCACGTTGCCCGTCTTAAACAATGCGCAGCTGTTGAAGCCTCTTGTCGTTCCGTGGTATACAGCAGCCGCCATTCCGCGTGTGTGGGACTTCCACTGGATCTGTGCACACACGGCGCATGATATTCTTTCTCAGTTCGAGGCGCTCTCGCGATCGCTAAACGACGATGATTCGCTTTCACACGAGGCCCTGAGTCCCAACGCGACACTCCACCTGGAGGTGGTCGCGTACCAGCTTCGGAACACGACCGGCGGGGTGGTTGAGATTCAGAACCGCCCTGTCGTACTGCTGTCAAGTGAGCCGGTGCCGATTCGTCGTGTGCTTAGCCATCCTACCGCCATCGCCGCGGAGGCTCACCGAGGGAGCCCGCAGGGTGGCTTACGAGAAGTCCCTTTAGAGGCCCTCCGTTTTCGGGTCAAACGTCCGATTGCGGAGTCCGCCTACACTACCGTCGCCGCGGACCTCCGGCGCCGTCGTCGTCTCTCGTCTTTCGATTACCACCGTGGGGGAGATTCGGTGCAGGCTCGGCTTGCGTTGAACGCCTCAGTGGTCATGAAGATATGCCTCCCTGACATTTCATCATCATCGTCCTGTATGGTTGTGTGCATATCTGATACGCTCCTCGTTGTGGAGCCTCCCCCGCATCGAGCGACTTCACTACTTCGACGTATTTTCTTCCCTTCTTCAGGTCCCGGTGTTGGGACGGCCGCGCATGGGAGCAATCGAGCTGAGCCTGTGGTGAGAGCTCGTCGGCGTCGCAGGATCTTCTCCGCCGCGGGGCTGCTTCATCACGCCGTGTTGAGCTGTATGTTTTTTTTGCTTTTGCCTTCTACTGGGCTGCTCGGCCAACTGGGTCCTTCAGGCTCGATAAAAGACGATTCTATGGGCTGGACTCCCCGCAAGGAGCCTTTCGCTCGCTCTTCAGGCTCATCGGTTAAGGACGCTTCGATGGGTTTGTTATCGAGTCATAGCGTGCTTAACGTGGACGCAGTCAAGAGACGGCGAGCGCGGAAGGAGCAGCAACTTATGTACGCCGCGGTGTTTTTTCTACTCCTTTCTGTTAGCTCTATGTATATGCCCACCATGTGGGTGATAATTTGGCTCTCTTTGTGGATCTTCACGTTGAATTGGAGCCGGCATCCTGGTATGATATTGTATTGTTGCTTCTCCGCGGTGTGTTGGTGGTATATTTAACGTGACGCACCATGTGAAAGGTGGAGGAAGAAGAGGTCTTTATACGAAGCAATCTGAACTTAACATGAAGACTGAGGACATGAATAAGCGGGGGAAAAAATGGCCTTTCTCTGTATGTTGATATAATGTGTCTTATATGATCGTCTAATAATAGTAACCGTTTCCTCCACGAATGGCTGATTAGTGGAAATATGTAATTAGCGACTTTGAGAATGTTATGTTCATATTATCGGAATTACTATTACTATTGTTGGTCATTATATTATAATTTTTTTTGCCTTTAGAGTTTTCTTCATGTACGTGCATAAACACACATTTATGGCATGGTGGACATTGCCTCAGTACACGTATTCGCTATTATCCATTTAGTGTTTTTGACAATACTACACGTATTAGTTGGATTAATTACTTTTTTCAAGAAAATTATACAAAAAGATATGATGCATTCAAACATGACCTGCATTTTTATCATTTCTACATATGTTTTGTATCAATTCCCAGATTAAATTGATTCCCTCATTTTAACCTTTTTATTATTTAAATCTACACATCGATAAACCCCAGGTCATTCTCCTTCATAAGCGATAGCGCAAACTTGAAGTCGTTTACATCATGGTTGATGTGCTCACGGTTCCCCCCTTTCTTGTGTTTAGCAAACCGCTCGCTTCATTTACCTTTCCTTCCACTCCGCATCTGATACGACGACCTGAACTTTCCCCATCCGAAGTTTCCCTTGGTGAGAGGATAACCTATCCAAGGGGTGATTCCGTCGTGCGCGTGCTTTTGGACCCAGTTGCGCAGGATATTGTCTTCCTCACAGCCTCTGGGGTTGTATCGTTTTATCCACTTTTTCCGAAGCGATCGCCGGGGTCTGCGAAGGCAAAAAACGGCGTGAGGTCGGGATTTTTCACGCAAGAAGAACCCCACGTACGAGCAGACGATGACAACGACGTCGTGCTGCGTTTTTGTGTGAAAAAGAAGGATCTTCCTCAGCCTTCACAGCTACGTTTAGTCAAGCGTTACACCATACCTACTGCTTCTTTTGCGCGATCTTTAAGGGGAGGGGAGGATTCAAACACACTTTATTTTCTCATAGCGCTCACTTGTGATGAGTCTACGATCTTCTTTTATCAATGTCCCTCATTGTACGGTGGAGATCGGTGTGAGAATCTGACGGAGAAGGGTAGGGGCAATTCTTGCCCAGTACTATCACCGTGTGGGATTTACCGTTGCTCACCGCGAAATTTTCGCTTTCCAGCGAGCTACTACCCTATTCGTGATTTTTACTGGATTCCTCCTCAATATCCAGCTTTAGATGACCGCCAAAACACCAGCGGTAACAATTTCGCGTGTGATACTTCTACTGATACATGCAAAGAGAATGGGTTCGAGCGGGAAGATCGGCCTCGCGAGCGCACATCAAAGTTTTCCTCTTCATCGTCTTTGTTTGCCATGGGGGGAAGACTTCTGTGCGTGAGTGCGATTAGTATTGAGGTAATTCTCGTCTCTACAAACGCTGTTTCGGCATATTCGATGGATAATATCGACGACGGCGCTGTCAGGGCGGATTCGATCCTCCTCCAGCGCAGCATCACGCGCACGGATGCGTGGGCCTATTACCCCCACGCGCGTCTTTTACTTAGTGTCAATGCGGAAAAGTTCGCTGTTTTAAAGCTTTTTGAGATAGTGGAGTCCTGGAAGGAGGAAGGAAGGCACACCGCGCTGCGGGCGTGCTGTAAGCTGCGGCTTGCCCTTCATGAGGGGGAGCCGGGGTGGGGATGGGTTCGCGCGACGACGGCGGCCGTGAAATCGTCTTCTGGTGGGCGCTCTTCTTTCTTTTCCCCCGCTTCAGTTATTCATATGGACGCTACGGCGGATGGATGGGATTGCGGCGGTCTGTCAAGGGGGCTCTACGACGGGCTTGTGGGGATTGTGGAACTATACGGACAGGTTTTTGTCTACCACATTCGCGCTTGGAAGGGGGTGATGCTGCTCTATCAGTACAATCGGGATTCGAAGATGCCGTGCGAGGAGGAGGTAAAGCGTGTGCTCGGAGACGACGAGGCGCGGAACATTCTGCGCGGGAGTGAATGTAGTCATGAGGAGCCTTTACTAGAGTACTTTTCATTGTATGGTGTTTTGAGCCTAAATGCCCTTCCGGCCGTGGTTCATTATCAACGGACCTCTACTTTTCCGTTCTCGAAATCATCTTTTTCCACGACATCTTCGCCAGACTTTGCGGTGCAGGTGGTGGATAACCTTATTCTCGTGCACAGCATTGAAGATCAGCTAACAAGCGTTTTCGATATCGCGCTTCGTGCATGTAGTAGCGTTAGCAGGAAAGCCATCTACGCGGAGTCCGAATCGGGCGTTCCGCATGCGACTTCCCCAAGCACCGCGACCGACTCCACCGGGACACCACGGCAGTCCCAAAGGGGGGGGCCCGGTGATGACTTCGCAGCGTTTGCGTGGGGACCTACGGAGGGATTCACAACGACCACCACCCCTTCGGCGTCTTCTCGTCGGCATGAAAACCACATCACGATGAATTTAATTCAGTCTTCATCTTCCCAATCGGACTATCTCTGGCGGACCACGCTGGCACGGGTGTCAAGACTCAATCCACGCATTCCGCTCATCCCGCGGCTGACTGCGCGGCGCGGGGTTTCCTCCGCCGAGGTGAACGTTTCTTTTTTGGAATCCGCCCCCGATACGCTGTCGGCGTCGTCGCGGCTGTGTAGTTTTCTCAGCCGCCATGTTGACGGCAACGCGTTCAGCGCGGAGACGCCGACCTACGACGCGGAGGCCCTCGAGCACGGCTCCCCGAGTCATCCCTGGAGCGTTCCCTTCATCCTGCCCCTGATGACGGCGTCCCTGCGGCTCTACGCCCCCCCCGGCGCGGACCCCCCCCTGCCACGATGGACCCCGTCCACGACCTCTACGGTGACGGCATCTTCCTCCGGCTGGGC